CTTGCTTCCTGGTCTTCCCTTTCGATCAGCTCAGCGTTCCACAGGAAGCCAGTCCAGTCAGTTATCATGTATTTATATATTCATTCATTTATTAAACATGTGAAAGCCACCATATTTTGAAAGGTTTCAGGATAGGTTGCAGCTAGGAAAACTGGGAACAATCTAACCCATTTTAAAAATAAATAATTCTGCAACTGTATTCTCAAAGGCTTTCATGGCCGGGATCTGATGGTTGTTGTGGGTTTTTCGAGCACTTTGGCCATGTTCTGAAGATTGTTCTTCCTGATGTTTCGCCAGTCTCTGTGGCCGGCATCTTCAGAGGACATCAGTCAGAACTTTGTGCTCTAGTGCAGTTTGTTTGGATAGTTGAGTATTTATAGCTGTGGGATCAGCTTTTGTCCTTTTCAGGAGATTGGGTGATGATGGTGATCAGCGTGTTTTTGTTGTGGGGGTATTGTTGTGATGAAGGGGGGAGATTATCTATCACTGTTATTGATGCGTGTCTTTAGCTGGTTTTTTTGTGTGCAATGATCCCTGGTCCTTGTGGCTGGGTAGAGTTTGTTGACCTTTTGCAAGCTGTAAATTTCAGTGCTGGAAGCCAGGCCTTGTTGAGTTTTAGATTTTCTTCTTTTTTTGTTGAAGCTCTGCTGGTGTTTATGGATTTCAATGGCTTCCCTTGCAGTCTAACATAATGATTGCTGGTGTTGTCCAGTATTTCAGTATTTTGAAATAGAATTTCAGGTCCAGCTTGTTTTAGGGCATGTTCAGCTACTGCTGATTTTTCCGGTCGTTTTAGTCTGCAGTGTCTCTCATGTTCTTTGATTCTGGTGTGAATGCTGTGTTTTGTGGTTCCAATATTCTGCAACTCTTGGAATTTTATTTATTCATTTCATGCATGAGATATATTTATAATCCTGCCTTTCCTTTATTGAGATTTAGGTGGCATTCATGGCTTTTCTCTCTGCTTTAGCTTCACATTAACCTCTCAGGGAGCTTACGGTGAGAGTGCTTCACTTGACCGGGTATACACACTGGGCTATAGCAATTCTTAAAAAAAAACCTTTTAATCTTTATTACATTTTAAAAAGAAATTATAAAATAAGTAAATAATTATCACAATATTAGCACGTAACCAAAGTAACTTTCTATTATCTCTTTCACAAAACAGTAAGTCTTTAACATTTTTACTTCCTTATTTTCCACCAAACATTTACTTTTTTTGCAATCTTAATACAGTGGTGCCTCACATAGCGATCACTCAGTTGAGCGACAAAATTGCTTAGCGACTGAGTTTTTGCAGTCGCAAAAGCGATCGCTTTGCAATGGTCCCTATGGGATTTTTTCGCTTTGTGATGATCGCGGGGAAGCAATGATCGGCGTTTCAAAATGGCCGCTGGGATAACAAAATGGCCAGCTGCTTTTTTTCCTCGCTTAAGAGGCAGCGAAAATGGAGGCGCTATGGAGGATTTTCGCTTAAAGGTGAGTTTTTAAGCCCATAGAAATGCATTAATCGCATTTTAATGTGTTTCTATGGGCTTTTTAATATCGCTTAGCAATGAAATCGCTTAGCAACATTTTTATCGGAACGGATTAATGTCGCTAAGCGAGGCACCACTGTAGTGTAATACCGTTCTTAATTCTTATTTTATCTCCATATTAACCATCTGCTTTACTTTGCTTTTACTTCTATTGAGAGCAGTTCTGCTTCTGATTTAAGCCTACGTCACTGGGTACAGGTTTGGAATCTTTCTTCCGTTTCTCTTTTAGCCAATTCTTTACTTTCGGCTGTGGGAATTCTTTGAGTCCCAGTGTGAGACGCTTAAGTCGCAGACCACCCTGCCTACCGCACAGAGGCGGCTGTCTTCTTGTACGTGGATGGCTGAGTTTGGCTGCAAACGGGTTGGCGCTTCCTCCTGAACGTCACAAATAGAAGGGACGATTGCTGGATGCCCTGTTTTGAGGAGAAAGGCATGATCTAAACAAGGCTCTAAACCAGCTCTTGCCCTCCTGATGTGTAGTTATACCACAACACCTGTTATCACCAGCCTTGAGATTTAATGCTTTCTGGGGATGGTGGTGATTGCAGTCCAGCATATGTGAAGAAGCGCTTTTATAGCCCTCTAGCTGCTTAACCAGCTGTGATGGAAGACAAGAGTGTAGAGAACAGTGGATGAGGGAGAGGGAGAACGTAGTGTATGGATGGCTCTCAGGGCCAAAAACACTATGCACCATAACTTTCTCGTGGACTGGGATCCATAAATATATTGGGTCTCTAGTTCTAGAAAACTTTGGAGGAAGAGGAGGTTTCAATTGTTCTGAATTCTTGTTTTAAATTCTCCTCGCTCCCAAGTGACCTGCAGTGCCGTTCCAGATATCTGAGAAAGGACAAAGGAGTGCAATCCACTTGCATGTTTGAACAACGAGGTCTCTCTGTTGGGCACATTGATTTTCCCTTTCCTTCCCTAAGTTCAAAGATGCGTCTGTACTGTTCCTCTTGTCCAAACCTGATTCTTTTTCTTGCTTTTGGCTCTTTGAACGTTGGCTTTCTTTGGTCTTAACTAGACGCCTCCTGAAAGTAGGACAGGGTGGTCTTAAAGATGTGTGTTGGAGAAGCTTCATGAAGCTGTCGGATAAAGTCAGATCAAACACCAGGTAGGAAGAAGCCGCATGGCAGAGTACGGTATCTGCTCTCTCCGTTAACAGAACTGCTAGCTAGGTAGCCAAATGTGAGCATTAAAAAGCATATATATAGATAACGAGAACTAAATTGCATTTCAATCAAAGTTTCTCTGGATCCACATGAGGTATGCAGGGAATCACTAATATATATAGACTTATAAGTGACTAAAAAAAAGAAGTAGGTTTCACCAGGAGCAACTGAAGGAGGTGGAAGCCAGAAACCTTTTGCTTATACTTTTTGGTTACATATACGCTTGATACAATATCTATCTTTTCAAACCTGTTTTCATATCAGTGAGCGGTAGAACCTTATTCTTACAAAAGAGAAAGCGGGGAGTGTCACATGAATGCAGATTTCCAAGACAGGCTGGTTAAAACCAGTTGCAGAATGAACTAACCAGATATTAGAAGTCGTGAGTATGATGGCTAATGGTAACTAGTTACTTGTTTGGGTAATGCAAGTGTAATCTGATTTGATTGTAAAGGTAATGGGAACAAGCAGGAATGAAATTACTGTACTTCACTGATGTAGTAACATTTTCAAGTTATTTACAGACGTTACTTTTTTAAGGCATTTCAGAGGAATTGTCCATGTTTCCCTGCTGTTCTCTGAATCAATCCGAAGCATTCTGTTCAAATAACGGTTTACTTTTCCAACAACTTTCCGTGCTGATGGTGAAACGTCAAGATCCGTCACACTAAAGTGCTGTCTGAATAGCAGCTTTACAAGTGATTCCTTTAAAGATCCTCTGAGAGAGGGAGAGGTATCTGTAGGCATCGGTGTTATTTGTCTCTCACCCTGTTAACAAGATCCCCAGATGCTATACTTCTGTTGAAATGGCTTCTTCTCCACAATATTAAATGGGCACAAACACTTTTCCGTGGGTGTTGTGCTCAGGGCAAGGGCAGCCGGTCAGCTGCAGCACCCAGGACAGTTCCCACCGTGGCTGGAGGTGAATGGAGTCTTAGCTCCAGGGAGTGGAGAGCTTTTTCATTTGCTCAGGTCAGGACGGCTCCAGAGATGCTGCCGTTGCTGTTGGTACAGAGACCACAGGTCCAGGGGTCATTACATCTCTGCAGTTGCAGACCTGGCTGACCCTGGGGGGGTCACCTCACTCGGCTCCCCAGCCTCTGCCCCCGTGTCCAGACCAGTTGCTGGACCTCCTCCATCAGGACGTAGAAAGAGAGGAAGGTTTTCCCCTTTGAATTGTCCAGTAAAAGTTGGACTCAATGACCCTCGGGTTCCTTCTCGTTCTGCGGCTCCATCAGTCGGTCTGCCAGTTTGCCTCCTTTGCAACGCCGACGGCCAAATTAGCCATGCTTTGGCCTCCTTCTGATGGAGGCCCACCCAGGGAACGTCATGGCTCAGCAGGGATTTCAGACCCGTCTCCAGAAGGCGAGTGGGGCCCAACCAGCCTTCTGCCTCCGTAGCAGCACCTGAGACGGTTGGCAGGACACTACAACTGCTACCCCATGTGACGGTTTGCCTTAGAAAATAGATTTTGGAGGCAAGAGGACACAGGAAAGGCTGTTGGTTTCGCTAGACAAGAAAATACATCCACATCTGACCATGAAATGATGGAATCCAAAGTGATAGTAACTTAAAGGTAGACTTTTAAAGGAAGAAACAAGGAAAAACCTGTAACAGCGGGGTGAAGACGTGATCCATTCATGCGAACAGAGCTCCAAATGTCACTTAGAATGATAAAATTCCTTAGCCATTTTGCTTTCAGCCTAGATTGTGATAAATGTTGTCTTTTCTGTTCCTAGGGCTAGGACTATCCTTGGCTGGAACAGAAAGTAACATAGCAGTGTTAAATATTTTATTTCCACATAGCAGAGACCATGTTTATGATGGCCCATTTTGCTTTTCATGCATTGGGATTACAGATTTCCAGTAAGACATTGGCCACACATTCATACACTTACCGTTGTTCATTGGTTTAATCCTGAGTATGCTACCGAGGTTAAAACGAGGAGGAACCCCTCATGCTGAACCTCAAGAAGACATCTGCACATTTTGGTTTTCTTTGAGTGCTTGTCCTATGCCATTTGGGACAGGGCCTGTAAATAAAATAAGTTTTGCCGTCCCCACCCCCCATCCCAAATCTGCTTCCCGTTTTGCAGGCACAGAAGCAGGAGTTTAGTGCAAAGACGCCTCATTAGCAAAAACCACTTTGCCCTGTTTGACAAAGGCAGGCAATCTCATTTGCAGGGCTGGTTTGTCCAAAGACTCCTTCCCAAGTCTTCCTCCCTGCAGCTGAATGTTTGTGTGTTTCTGCTGAAGAGTGCAAAAGAAAACGCTGTTAATGGGGTGTTTGTGTGTGTGTGATGTTTTCACAGCTATGCCATGCCCACAAAGACCATGGAGGTGTTTGTGTCAAAGGCCGAGAGATCCAAGAGTAAAATGGATTCTGTTCTTACAACCCATCAGCGTGTGGTTCGGGTAAGTGGTGGGTCCTGTCTCACTTTTTCCCTTTTCTGTTCTTGACATAGCACTGCGCTATTGCACAAAGCCATCCCTAGCTGACACACTGGCTTAACAACCCTTCCCACAACGCTCTTACCCCCTACTACAACTAATTCCAATACTACCACCCACGCACCCTAGTATCGAAAAACTCAACATTTAAAACCTCTACGGTTGATGCTGGCACCACTAGGTACCACTACATCAGGAGGTGCCATAGCAAAGAAAGAGTTTTGAGGGAGAAGCAAGGAGGGGGGTTGGGAGGAGAAGCCCCCTGCAATCCTGCGAAAGAGTGGAGGGGGGTATAGATGGATGACAGGCAGAGGTTAAAGGGCAGCCCCCATCCAGGAAACGAGAGAGATTGTGGAAACACAAGAATGGGCTCAAGCTACAGATTTCGGTGGAACATCAGGAAAAAACTTCTTAACTGTTAGAGCAGTATGACAAGGGAACCCATGATCTTGGGAGATGGTGAGCACTGCAACGTTGGAGGCCTTCAAGAGAAAACTGGACCACCCTCTGTCAGATCTGCTTTGATTTGGATTCCTGCCCTGAGCAGGGGGTTGGACTCAATGGCCTTTATAGGCTTCTTCCAACTCCCTTATTCTATGTTTGATGAGATGAGATGAGATAAGGCATGCTAATTCTCCAATAACCAATCTCTGTTTCAAGCATGAACTGTATGAGAAAATAAGAAATCAACTTACACCCCCTCTAGCCACCACTAGGAAACCAGTTAAGTTGTGTGCTGTAGTCCAGCAAATTGCAAACTTAGTTCCAAGTGTCCTTTCTACCAGTTTCTTCTGAGCAAATGCTAGAAACCACGGAAGGGGTGCTTTCTTTAAAATCGCATTGGCATGCACCAGCAGGAACCCTCCTTTTCAGTTTTGAAGCTACAGTCCTGTGCCAATTTCACCAAACGCATGCAGAACTTTTTTCTAAGGCATTGTAAAGGTGACAGCCTTCAACTAGAAGGAAGTTATATCTTCATATTACTTAATGGCAGTCATTAGCTAGTCAACAAAAATCACACATGTAAACAAAAGTGTACAAAAGGCACATTCAGCTAATACAGTTGAAAATGTCCTGTTTGCTGATTACAACTTAAAAGAACTTTGCAAAGGACAGGATTAACAGTTTAAATTTTCAAACAGCTACCCTTGAAGCGATGACAAACCTAGACAGCATCTTAAGAAGCAGAGACATCACCCTGCCAACAAAGTTCCGCATAACCAAAAATATAGTTTTTCCAGTAGCAATGTACAGAAGTGAGAGCTGGACCATAAAGAAAGCTGACCGCCGAAGAATTGATGCCTTTGAATTGTGGTGCTGGAGGAGGCTCTTGAGAGTCCCCTGGACGGCAAGGAGAACAAACCTGTCCGTTTTGAAGGAAATCAACCCCGAGTGATCACTGGAAGGACAGATCCTGAAGCTGAGGCTCCAAGACTTTGGCTATCTCATGAGAAGAGAAGACTCCCTGGAAAAGGCCCTGATGTTGGGAAAGTGTGAAGGCAAGAGGAGAAGGGGACGACAGAGGACGAGATGGTGCCAAAAGTCTCAGATAGCTGCAGAAATCAGCCCCTCTGGTGGAGGAAAGAGATACAAATGTGATGAAGTAGGAACCCCATCTGTGGCGGAACTGTACGAGAGTCCTAATTTACGTTGTGCCTTTATTCAAAGCATAGAAAAAACTTTCTAGTGCAACACCTTGATATATGCTTGAGAGATTTGTGGATGCCTTGAACTTCCAGAAAGACAAAGGGGGCCTTAGATGAAGCCCAGCCTGCACCATCTCTGGAGGCAAATATGTTGAAACTGTCCCTAATTGGAGCACATCATGAGAAGGCAAGATAAAGCCCAGCCTGCACTATCTATGGAGGCAAATATGTTGAAACCGTCCCGAATTGGAGCACATCAGGAGAAAGCAAGATTCTCTGGGAAAGACAATAAGGCTGGGAATGGTGGAAAGCAGCAGGAAAAGAGGAAGACCCAATACGAGGTGGTCTGACTCCCTAAAAGAAGCCACAAGCTTGAGTTTACAAGAGATGAGCAGGGCTGTTGAAGACGGGACATTTTGGAGAGCGTTCATTCACAGGGTTACCATAAGTCAGAGGCAACTTGACTGCGCCTAACAACAGCAACAAGAATACCCCAGCCAGCTCAACTAGTATCCATGCAGTTGGGGGTTCTACTGGGAGTTTTGACTAAGATGAATTTTTCTAAGCTGCGATTATGAGCCAGTTCCGTGTTGGGTCTCATTAGGTCTTTTTGTTTGCCCCTCTCCCATCTAAGCCCCTACTCCAAGTAGTCACTTCACTCGTTTTTCTTCCTCCTCCTCCTTCTCCAGATCAGCGGTCTGGGTGCAACGCTTGCTCCCATTTTCTTGGAAATCCTGCAGACTAATCAGCCTGAGGGAGTCCATCTCTTAGTGAAAGAGGTAGGTCGCTTCTTGCTGAACCATTCATGTTTAGAAGGAGGGCTTCTGGGTCTTTTAACTGTCACAACAACACGTCTGTAGAAGCACGCAACAACCCTCCCTCCTCCTCAGCAACACAAGACACCTGATTGTGCGAGGGGTTGACCACCCTTCCGACCGAGTGATTTGCTGGCGCAAGGCTGTGGCACTAGCATGTAGCTCAAAGCCTCATGTTTGGGGCTCCAATGTGCCTACAAAAGCTTCAGTGGTGACCATGCCTTGACTTACTAAGAAGTGTTTGTGAAATAAGCCAACATTTAGTCGAAAGCCCACATGCTACCAGTGGCTGTGGATGTGGCATCTCAACAAGTAACTTTCAACCCAAAAAGTGGGTGCCCGCGACCCTTCCCAGTTGGCCCACATGTAAGTCTGTTGCCGGACTTCCTTTGTCTAAACGTCCGTTGCCAGCGCAGGCACGGCTGGAGGGGGACACAAGATAAGCCCTTTTTGGCGGCTGCTTCCGGGTTGTGAACCCGTCCCTTTTATCCTTCCACTGATAGTTGAAGACCCACCACTTCAGGCAGGCTTTTAACCATTATAACAGAGTCCCTGAATGCCATATTGAGCTGAGTTTTTAAAGTTTGAAAGGTTTTTCATCATTCAATGTATTTTAGTTGCTGCTATAGTTTAATTGTTTTTAGTACATAATTTTATTGTGTTTTTAATTCTCCTTCTTTAACACCATGAGTTGTGTTTCCCCTTATAAGGAGAAAAGGTAAAGGTAAAGGTTCCCTTAGTTGCTGCTATAGTTTAATTGTTTTAGTGCATAATTTATTGTGTTTTTAATTCTTCTTCTTTAACACCGTGAGTTGTGTTTCCCCTTATAAGGAGAAAGGTGGCCTATAAAAAGGAATGAATGAATGAATGTCCATAAGATGAGTAA